CCCCAAAACCCCAAAACCCCAAAACCCCAAAACCCCAAAACCCCTTCTGTTTATTACTTTATTGAATAAATTCTAAGGAATCTATCAACATGAGGAATCAAATATTGGAGATTAACTCTAGAGAAGCAGCCCAGAGTCCTATCAAGGTAGTCAAAGAGTATATGAGGCAGAAGTTGTATCCCTCTCAGCCAAGTAATTTTATCCGTATATCCTTTAGCTTCTCCAAAGTTGCCCAATAATAAGCAGATTAATGAAATGATAAGCAGGGAAGTCTCATTTTTAATGAAGCAGAATGAGAATTAAAGTAAAAGGTATGGCCTCTCACTGCCCACAATAATTTATGATATACTTTGAATTGTAAGCGATTATTTAGAGTTTTAATAGATTTCTCTTAATTCCAAAATAAATTTATTAAGTTAATTTTCAGAAACTAATGTCTTCCATTCCATATAATTTTGAGCTTTTGTAGTCATCCAATAATTATAAATTTTGAGATATCAATCGAAGAAAATTTATCCAAGAATTTAATAGCTAGGAAAATTTCATAAGAAATGAAAATATTTCTATTTTAGATAAATATTGATTTTTTCCCTTAAAGTCCTTAAAAATGCTAAAATACCATATTTTTCATGATCTAAAACCTCGAATTACTTCTCTAGGTGTCCTTCATAGCCTGCTGGCCTAGGTTGTAGTAAAATGTGTGCTCATATTTATGAATAATTCTGGAACAAACTTTAGATTGCTCATATCTTCATTTGATACTAATCCTGCACAACTTATTCATGAAGGATATATTGGCAAACCTATTTACACAATTTTAGGGGTTTGCCAACATTTGGAGAATTTATAGGGCTTTTAGTAGAGCCAGGTTATGTGTGACCCGGCTCCCGTTGCTCATTTGTGCTGTGCTTACAAGTTTGAAAGCCTAAGCCACGGGAAAATTACAAGAAAATGCACAATTTGGTCTTCTATTTTCTAAAGTTTTTCTAAATTTATTTTCCTCTAGCTTGTTTAACAAGGAACACAGCGCAGCCCAAACTTTTGAACCAAAAGATATAAAGGTATTTTACTTTATGAATTGTAGAAAATTAAGAATAATTTCCCTATTCTGAATATTGATGAGAGAAGAAAGAAGAGAAACTCAAGAGGCAACCTGAAGTCATTTGATATGAACAACAAATTTGGTCAGGCTCCTTTACGGAATAACCTCGAAATGATTAATATTGAAGAGAATCGGCTTGGCGCTAACAAAACCATTGCTAGAATAGGTACGCTTCTATACTTTGTATACCGCTTTTTATATATTTTGTATCACAATTAAATCATTAGCATATAAATATTTATCATTTTCCTCTAGAAATCCCGCCTGAAGGAAAACTTACTAAGGCAGTGTACCAGAGGAACGAGACTCTGTGAACTCCGAGTCCAGTTTTATCTAAATAGAGGTCCACTGAACTATACTCATAACAAACTCTTCTTGAAGACGAGCAAGGAAGCATCAAAAAAGATTATTGTCAATCGAACCATTGACACTAATTTTGGAGATGAAGAAACTCCAATGTTGATGCAGCCAAGACTTTATGACGTAGCAAAGTACAATTTCTCTGTAGAGTCTTGAAAAGAAAATATTAAGAATAGAAGAAAAGAGAGGAGCAAGGACATCACTCTGCCTGAGATCTCTGATATCGCAAAATCTAAGCCAAGGGTAAGACTAACCTGAATAATATCTATAGAGCTGTAAACGAGATGCTTCCCCTGTGAAGGTCGTGAAGAAGGACCTTCTAAATAACTACAAAATCCCTCCTTTCAAGCTGAACATGCTCTCTAGATTTATGGGTAAGAATAACAAAAGCAGGAAGTTTGGAGTGGCTCAGCCCAAAATTGCTGAGCTAGAGTTCTCCAAAAGGAAGAAGATACATGAGCTTATGAAGTATATCCAGAAATAACTCTGTAGCTTCCTGTATGCCATTAAGAGCTTCTTCAATTAACCTTTAACAATTCCGAGCAGGCTAGACTCATAAGTATATTTATGATCTCAACTTCCATGAACTTTACTATTCTGTAACATAAAATTTGAGCATTTGGCTCAAAAGTTTCCCTTTCAAGCGCAGCCAAGAAATTTGGTATTCTGGCATTACTTGAAGAATCTGGGATTAGACTCGTTTAAGAAGATAAGCATTAGTCATTTGATGGCAAAAGTCTGCTTGGATCATTTTTAATCTCCCTTAAATAGCACTAATCTATACATAAAAGAACGAGAGCTATATTACGATCAGAAATGATAAAATAGATGTTCCTGGTATCTAATCCAGAATTAGTTCGATTTAAGAGGTAGATCTGGCTCTGAGAGATATTAAAGTGCTTATTGGAAGTTATCTGTTACATGTTAGACAAATTTAGGGAAATGAAGACAGATATACATTATTCTATATAATTTTTATAATGTGGGGTTTTGGGGTTTTGGGGTTTTGGGGTTTTGGGG